TGTGGATAGAACATGTTCAGGAAATAAGCCAGCATCTGTACTGAGCGCACAGACTTCCCTCAACAGAGGAGTACAACCATTTACACAGAACTTACATCACGGAAGGTATTGCAAGTAATCTAGAGATGATGTCAAGTATACAGCAGGATTTGTGTAGACTATAAGCAAACAGTGGGCCACTGTATATAAGCAGCATTCATGGGGGGTCCAGGAACCCATCCCACAAGATGCTAATGGAAGACTACACTTAGGTACAGCAGCCCGGCAACTAACACAGCACTACAAGCAGACAAATGATATTCAGCGAGAATTCCTTTCCAATATCTCAAACAACATCCCAAGAAAACCAGAAGAGTCTAAACATCCAGGATGCAAAGTCTTAAGTAGAGCCTGATAAATAAAAACAGATTAAAGTTAGAAGGTTTGATAAAAAAACTATTTGTCTTTCAATTTAGTTTTCAAATGAGTTTACCAACGATTATCACTGGAAGAAGCCTGAATAAAAAGCTAAGAAAGAAATGTGAATTTATATTTAGTGTATGATAAAGTGGCACTTCAGTTCAATGGAAAAAAATTTCTCACTAAATGGTACTAAACAGTGGTCAACTAACTACATATAGGAAAGAAATGAACTACATCTTTATCCTTTACCTACTTTACACCAAACTTGACAAAGAAGTGACTATGAGGGCCAGCATTGTGGCGTAGCCAGTAAAGCTGCCACCTCCAATGCCAGCATCCCATATGGGCACCGGTTCAAGTCCTGGCTGTTCCACTTCTGATCCAGCTCCCTGTGATGGCCTGGGAAAAGCATCAGAGGATGGCCCAGGTGCTTGGGACCCTGCCACCCACATGGGAGACCTGGAAGAAGCTCCTGGCTTTGACCTAGGCCAGCCCTGGCCATTATAGCCATCTGGGGAGTAAACCAGCAAATGGAAGATATCTCTCTCTCTCCCTCTCTCTCTCTCACGATGACTTTCAAATAAATAAAATCTTTTTTAAAAATAGGGATTACATTTCATAAAATACGTAACAATGAAAAAGACTAATAGATTTAATTGCAAAAACTTAAAATATGTAAGTACTGAACACATACTATATCATAAACAAATGTGAAGGCAGATGTCTTGCTTCCCATGTTTAATGAACTATTCCAAAACACAGATTAGGAGGAAAAACTCAGTAACATGCTGCTAGCTAACCACATTCTAGCATACAAAGCCAAACAGGAAAAGACATTTAAAAAACAAAAATACAGACCAATCTCACTTATGAACATATGTGCAAAAATCCTACAAAGTATTCACAAACTGAATCCTCACAGTATATTGATATCCACACTCGAACAAGGTATATTCTTAAGAGAATAGATTAATAACAAGTTACTATGTAGGGGAAAGTAGACAACAAATGTCCTAAAAGATTATAACAAAATTCATCACCAATTAGTATAAACAACATCTAAAAAATTAATAAAGCGCATAGCTTACATAATTTTAAAAATATCACATATTTATAGTATATATATCATATAGCAGATATCATACTCAACAGTATAATGTTACTGGCATTCCCATTAAAGCTAAGCCAAGATACCACTTACAACTGTGCTAGCGTGGTCCTAGCCAACATAATCAGAAAGTGAAATAAGGAGAATAAATATTGGAAAAGAGACTATGCTTTCCTCATTTACAAATAATATGGCTGCCTATCTAAAACACCTAAAATGATATATTCAAATTATTAAGATGAGTGAGATTTCAGCAAGAGTAACAGAAAGAGCAGATTCAAAATCAAGAAATAAATTATTAATAACATACCTATAAGACAACAATAATAAATTTTAAAATTTAATAAGAAAAAAGATCAATTTTAAATAGTAATCAAACTCACAAAATGCTTGGGAATAAAGTTAATAAGATATTAAGATCTAATTTAAGGGCCGGCGCCGTGGCTCACTAGGCTAATCCTCCACCTTGCAGCACCAGCACACCGGGTTCTAGTCCTGGTCGGGGCGCCGGATTCTGTCCCGGCTGCCCCTCTTCAAGATCAGCTCTCTGCTGTGGCCAGGGAGTGCAGTGGAGGATGGCCCAAGTCCTTGGGCCCTGCACCCCATGGGAGACCAGGATAAGTACCTGGCTCCTGTCATCGGATCAGCGCAGTGTGCCAGTCACAGCATGCCAGCCACAGTGTGCCAGCCACGGTGGCCACTGGAGGGTGAACCAACAGCAAAGGAAGACCTTTCTCTCTGTCTCTCTCTCTCACTGTCCACTCTGCCTGTCAAAAAAAAAAAAAAAAAGAAAAAGAAAAAAGATCTAATTTAAAATGTAAAGTAGCTTTTTTAAAAAAATTTTTCTAAATGAACAGAACTGAAGGTCATTATGTTAAATGAAATAAGCCAGACACAGAAAGATAAATATAACATGTTCTCTCTCATACGCACAAGTTTAAAATAAAAAAATGGAGCTGTGGCACAGTGAGTTAAGCCATGCTGGAGACACTGGCATCCCATATTGGAGAGCTAGAGTTCCAGCTGCTCTACTTCCAGTTCAGCTCCCTGCTAACACACCAGGGAAGACAGAAGATGGCCCAAGTATCTGGGACCTTGCCACACATGTGGGAGACCAGGATAGAGTTCCTGGCTCTTGGCTTCCACCTGGTCCGGCACCAGTTGTTACAGCAATTTGGGGAGTGAACCAGCAGATGGAAGATCTCTCTCTCTCTCTCTCTCTCTCTCTCTCTCTCTCTCTCTCTTTTACTATTCATTTGAAAGTCACAGGGAGAAAGGAAGAGATCTTCCATCTGCTGGTTCATTCCCCAGATGGCCACAGTGGCTGGGGCTAGGCTGGGCTGAAGCCAAGGGCCAGGAGCCAGGAGCTTTTTCTAGGTCTCCTATGTGAGTGGCAGGAGCCAAAGCACGTGGGCCATTTTCTGGTGCTTTTTCAGGCCATTAACAGGGAGCTGCATCAGAAGCTGGATCACGACATGAGCTGGTGCCCACAGGACGCTAATATCGCAGATAGCAGTTTTACCCACTACGTCACAATGGTGGCCCCTCAAATCAATCTTTTTTTAAAAAATTCAATAACCTAGACCTAGAAAAGAGGCTGGGAAGGGTGGGGGAACTGGGGATAGAGGGACATCAGGTAACACAGACAGATGGGGCCAGCATTCCAGCGCAGCAGCTAAACCATCCCTTCTCACTCCAGTATTCCCCATATCAGAGCACCAGTTTGAGTATCAGCTGCTCTGCTTCTGATCCAGCTCCCTGCTAAAGCACCTTGGAAAGCAGAGGAAGATGGCCCAACTATTTGGGCCTCCGGGAGATCCAGGTGGAATTCCAGGCTCCTGGCTATTGCGGCCATTTGAAGAGTAAACTAGCAGATGGCAGCTTTCTATCTCTGTCTGTCTGTCTGTCTGTCTCTCTCTCTCTCTGCCTCTCTACCTTCAAATAAACAAAATAAATCTTTTAAAAAAACAGAAGTAGTAAGTTCTGGCATTTCACAGCACAGTGAGGTGACTATAGTTCATAATAAATTACATTTACCTTATAAATAATTGGAAGAGAGAAGCTAGTAGATTCCAAACGAAAAGAAAAGGAAATGGAAAAACTAACTCCCTGATTTGATCAGGCAACTAATTAACAGGTACAGGGTTTTCTTTTGTGGTGATGAAAATGTTTTGGAACCAGAGAGAGGTGGTGGTTGCACAACAGTGCACAGTAAAATGTCATGTGTTGCTGTAACAAAAATACTTAAGGATGGGTAATGTACAAAGAAAAGACATTTATCAGGCTCACAATTAGCTTGGAGTCCAAATTCAAGTGATCATAGCTGGCAGCCTCTTGTGCCTCACAACACAGCGGATGACACCACCACAGGAGCACACACTGGAGGGACTAGGAGCGTGTGCAGTAGAGAGATTCCTCAGGGCTGTCAGGCCTGCTTGTAACAGCTGGCTGTCTCTGGACTTCCCGTAAGACTGGAACGTCCTTGCAGACTGCAAACACCCCTCCAGACAAGCACTAACCCCTCTTAAAGGCCCCCGCTACCTCAATACTGTTACATTGGAGAATTCAGCCTCAACACCAGTTTTGGTTGGTCCTGTTACGCATATTTTGCATACATAATTCTGTAAGTTCTCAGTGTTTAATATAAAAACACCACAATCTAAAAACAAACTAGTTAAGACTGTAAGGCTCACACAAACTTTTAATCTCTGCCACTGAAAACCTGCTAGGTTCCATAATGTCCTTCTAAAGTAGTCTCCAGGTAGGAATTAGCAAAATCATTCATTTTCACCTTTGCTTCTGAAGTTGCAATTAGCAAGGAATTCACAGGGGCAGGGAGGGACTACAACACAGGGCACTGGGGCTGGTGCTGTGGTGCAGCGGATTAAAGACCCAGCCTTCAGCGTCGGCATCCCATATGGGCGCCGGTTTGAGTCCTGGCTGCTCCTCTTCCCATCCAGCTCTCTGCTATGGCCTGGGAAAGCAGTAGAAGATGGCCCAAATGCTTGGGCCCCTGCACCCACTTGGGAGACCCAGAAGAAGCTCCTGGCTCCTGGCTTCATGATCGGGCCATTTCGGTCATTTGGGGAGTGAACCAGCAGAATGGAAGACCTCTCTCTCTCTCTGTAACTCTGTCTTTCAAGTAAATAAAATAAAGAAAAAAAATAAAAACAGGGCACTGCACTCTGCTCAAACTCAAACCCTGCCAATCACTTTAGGGAGCTCTGGCAAAGACAATCCTTGCCAGAATGCAAAAATAAAAAGGGTTATATTAAAAGGACTGCAGGAAGAATGATGCAATTTTAACAGTAAGATTTTTCTTCCCGTTTATTTTTTAACTGACTGAAATTCATTGGAACCTCAGCTCTCAATTCCTTTGAGACACAAAGATTACAGTGAGTCCAGTGGCGCACCTGCAGTGTCAGAGCCAGTTCTGCACATGGTGGGCAACTGTGAGTCCAAGGCCAATGCCCGCCATGCTCCTACTCACCAGCCAGAAGTAAGAGTCCCAGAGAACGAGGCCTGGCTCCGAAGCACGACACTATCATCGGCGCGCTTCTTTCATTCCAGCAGTCAAGACCACACGATGACCCTTAAGCTGAAGCTGGATGCTGGATGACCAAGTGCAATACTCTTTGGGTATGTAAGCTTACGGCTGAAACAATCAAAAGATGAATTGGCATAACGTATGCTGACGTCTTTGGAAGGAATTTTATGAACACAGGATTTAAGGCTTCTTATAAAATAAACAATGCAAGTGTTAATGAGGCAGAACTAAGAATACTACAGTAAGAAAATGTTATCAATCACTAAACCTGTGAGTTAATCATGTTCAAAATTCTACTAAGTAATGAAAATGGGGAAATTACCTACAGTAGTTCTTCAGTCAATGTGTGTGTGAGAGAGAGACAAAGAGAATGAAAATGTAGAAATATTCGGAAGACATACTAAAGGACAGCAAAATAGTAATTATTAGAACTGTATTACATAGTTTCCAGAAGCTAGAGGAAAAACACGTTAAGAAACATAGAAAACAGGCCGGCGCAGCGGCTCAATAGGCTAATCCTCCACCTAGCGGCACTGGCACACCGGGTTCTAGTCCCGGTTGCCCCTCTTCCAGGCCAGCTCTCTGCTGTGGCCCGGGAAGGCAGTGGAGGATGGCCCAAGTGCTTGGGCCCTGCACCCCATGGGAGACCAAGATAAGTACCTGGCTCCTGCCTTCGGATCAGCGCGGTGTGCTGGCCGCAGCGCGCCAGCCATGGCGGCCATTGGAGGGTGAACCAAGGGCAAAAGGAAGACCTTTCTCTCTCTCTCTCTTTCTCACTATCCACTCTGCCTGTCAAAAAAAAAAAAAAAAGAAAAGAAAAGAAACATAGAAAAAAGAAAAAAGATCCAATTCAATCTTCCGGATTATTTTAAGAGATAAAAATTATGATGTCTGAGAAGAAAAATATATCAGATGTGACTAACAGCAGATGAGACACTGGGGAAGAAAAAAAAAATTAGTGAACTTGAACATGCAGCAATAGAAACTACCTAAAAAGAAACAAAAAAAAAAAAAAAAAGAAAAGAAAAATGAACAGAGACCATCAGTAACCCATGGGACAATTTATACTTGTATGTATAACTGAGATCTACAAAAAAGAGAAGTGGGGCAAGAAAAAATATTGGAAAAAGTAGCAGTCAAAAATTTTCTAAGTTTGATGTAAACTATAAAATCAAAATATAAGAAATTCAAGGATACCAATCAAAAAAAAAGCTATACCACGATACTTTTTTTTTTTTTTTTGACAGGCAGAGTGGACAGTGAAAGAGAGAGAGACAAAGAGAAAGGTCTTCCTTTGCCGTTGGTTCACCCTCCAATGGCCGCCGCGGCCGGCGCACTGTGCTGATCTGATGGCAGGAGCCAGGTGCTTTTCCTGGTCTCCCATGGGGTGCAGGGCCCAAGCACTTGGGCCATCCTCCACTGCACTCCCGGGCCACAGCAGAGAGCTGGCCTGGAAGAGGGGCAACCGGGACAGAATCCAGCGACCCAACCGGGTCTAGAACCCGGTGTGCTGGCGCTGCAAGGCGGAGGATTAGCCTAGTGAGTCACGGCGCCGGCCACATCATTTCAATTTGTCTACAATCAGTTTAAAAAAAAAATCTTGGAGCTGCCACTGTGCAGTAGTGGGTAAAGACACCGCCTGCAGTGCCAGCATCCCATTTGAGTACCAGTTCCAGGCCTGGCTGCTCCACTTCCGATCCAGCTCCCTGCTATGGCCTGGGAAAGCAGTAGAAGACAGCCTAGGTCCTTGGGCCCCTGCACCCACATGGGAGATGGGGAAGAAGCTCCAGGCTCCTGGCTTCATATAAGCCCACCTCGTGCCATTACAGCCAATTGGGGAGTCAACCAGCATATGGAAGACCTCCTTTTCTCATTCATTCTCTCTCTCTCTCTTTCTCTGTGTGTGTGTGTGTGTGTGTGTGTGTATGTGTAACTCTGAGTTTCAAATAAATAAATAAATCGCTTTTTAAAAATCTTAGAAGCAGCCAGATAAAAGAGAAACATGAAGTACAGTGAAAGAGATAAGGATGCTGGCCGGCGCCACAGCTCACTAGGCTAATCCCCCACCTTGCAGCACCGGCACACCGGATTCTAGTGCCAGTCGGGATGCCGGATTCTGTCCCGGTTGCCCCTCTTCCAGGCCAGCTCTCTGCTTTGTCGCAGCTCTCAGAGGTTAAGGAAAAGATGGACCAGTTCATCCAGAGCTGCCTCTTACGTGCTTTCAGAATGAGTTACTGACCACATTCATCCTACCCCTGTAGTCAAAGTTGTGTTTGACCACTGAATGAAGTGCTGCCGAAATGGGAAGACACTCAAATCTCTGCTCAAAAGGAAACAACACAAAACAGGCCAATGGGATTATTCCTAACAAACCAGGTAAAACACAGCAAGCTGGGGCCAGCGCTGTGGCATGGTGGGTAAAGCTGCCGCCTGCAATGCCGGCATCCCCTATAGGTGCCAGTTCAAGTCCCAGCTGCTCCACTTCCAATCTAGCTCTCTGCTTTGGCCTAGAAAAGCAGTAGAAGATGGCCCAGGTGCTTGGGCCCCTGCACTCATGTGGGAGACCCAGAAGAAGCTCCTGGCTCCTGGCTTCGGATCGGCGCAGCTCTGACCATTGCGGCCAACTAGGGAGTGAACCAGTGGATGGAAGACCTCTCTCTCTCTGCCTCTCCTTCTCTCTGTGTAACTCTTTCAAATAAATAAATAAATCTTAAAAAAAAAAAAAAAGAGCAAGCTAAAAATGAGACAAGAAAAAGCACAACCAGCAGAAACAGATTTTGCACAGCTCTCTGAAATGACTGGAAAAAAAGTGGTAAGAGTTGAAAAAGAATGAGCAAAGGATTTTAAAACTATTATCAAGTGCTTAGAATCATTAGTACAAATGCAGAAATAGATGATAAAATTCTGGGAGGCATTCCTACCTGAAGCCAAATTATTCCTGTTAAGACCACATGGGAGAGGCCCGCGCTGAGGCGTAGTAGGTTAGCTGCAGCACCAGCACTCTATATGGGCGCCAGTTTGTGTCCAGGATGCTCCACTTCCAATACAGCTCTATGCTAATGGAGAAAGCAGTGGAAGATGGTTCAAGTGCTTGGGCCCCTGCACCCACAAGGGAGACCCAGAAGAAGCTCCTAGCTCCTGGCTTTGGATCAGCACAGCTCTAGCCGCTGCAACCATTTGGGGAGTGAACCAGCAGATGGAAGACCTGTCTCTCCTCCCTCTCTCTGTCTGTAACTCTGCCTCTCAAATAAATTAATCTTTAAAAAAAAATAAAAATAAAAACACCTTGGGTATTTGTAGCAGTTACGCTGAATTCCACAGCAGACTCATTTAAAACCATATAATTAAACCACTATATATTTTATGAATCACATATGGTTTTATATAAATACTTTTGCTGAACTAGACACTATTGTGTCTTAAATACTTGCACTAAAAAGGGCACTTTAAAGCCAGAAAATTTTACAATATTTTGTCACAATATGTTCTGCACTACATTTTACCTGCTTCGTAAAGTGAAATTTCAATGCATTGATTAATGTTCACTTAGAAAATTCCTGTACAGAATTTTCTTTTTCAACTTAATATGTTTTTGAGATAACATTTTAATTTTTATTGCAAAAGCTTAATGGCTCTACTTCATAAAGAGTTCAACAAATAAAAAGTGAAAGACCAAAGGTCAGCAGGAAAACAGGCAAGGTCTATAAACAACAATCAAATGAAAAGGTGTTCAACTTCACTCATAAATTTTAAAGTAGTCACAAAATCATTAATACTATAGTAGTCTATAACTCTTTTCAATTTGTTTGACAAATATTTAAAACAAGGTTTAACAAAATACTGTCAAAACAGATACACATAGATTTTTCTTCTTCTTCTTTATTTCTTAATTTTAGATCCCACACAGAGGAAGAACATGTAGCATCTGTCTTTCTGTGACAGATACTTTCAATATGATGATCTCTAGCTCCCAACCACTTTGCTGCAAATGACAGAATTTCATTCTTTTGTAGAGCTGAATAGTATTCCCAAGAGAGAAAGAGAGAGAGAGAGAGAGAGAGAGAGAGAGAGAATACACATTTTCTTTATCCACTCATCTGATGACAGACACCTTGACTGATTCCATATTTTGGCTGTTGTGAACAGTGCTGCTGTAAACGAGGTAAAGCACATACTTCTTCGATACAATGAGTTCATATCTTTTGGAAATATATCCAGTAGTGGGATTGCTGATCATATGGCAAGTCTACTTCTAGCCTTTTTGGGTTTTTTTAGATTTACTTATTTTTATTTGAAAGTCAGAGTAACAGAGAGAGAGAAAGAGAAAGAGACTGATCAATCGTCCATCTGCTGGTTCACTCCCCAGATGGCCACAATGGCCAGGGTTGGACCAGGCCAAAGCCAGGAGCTTCTTTCAGGTCTCCCTCATGAGTTGCTGGGGCCCAAACACTTGGGCCATCTTCCACTGCTTTTCCTAAGCTGTTACCAGGGAGCTGGATCAGAAGTGGAATAACCAGGACTCAAAACACCACCTATATAGGATGCCAGCATTGCAGGTGGCAATTTTACCTGTTATGCCCCTACTTCTAGCTTTTTTAAGAAAACCCCAGGGACCAGCATTCTGGTGTAATGAGTTAAGCCTGCATCCCATATGAGTGCTGGTTTGAGTCCTGGCTGTTCCACTTCCAATCCAGCTCCCTAACGCACATGGGAAAGCAGCAGCAGATGGCCTAAGTCCTTGGATCTCTGCACCCATGTAGGAGAACCAGATAGAACTCCAGGCTCCTGGCTTTGGCCTGGCCTACCCCTAGCTTGTTGTAGCCATTTGGGCAGTAGACCAACAGATGGAAGATCTCTCTCTCTCTCTCTCTCTCTCTCTCTCTCCCCCCCTCTTTCTCTTTTCTCTTTCTGTGTGTGTATGTGTCTGTCTACCTCTGTAACTAACTCTGCCTTTCAAATAAAGAAATAGGTGTTAACATTGTGGCACAGTGAGTACCAGCTTCCTGCGACGCCAGCATCCCACATGGACACTGGTTCAAGACCCAGCTGCTCCACTTCCAATCCAGCTCTCTGCTAATGTGCCTGGGAAAGCAGAAAAAGATGAACCAAGTGCTTGGGCCCCTGCACCCACACAGGAGACCCAGAAGAAGCTCTGGACCTTTGGCTTTGGCCTGGCCCAGCCCAGCTATTGCGGCCATTTCGAGGGTGAATCAGCAGATGGAAGAATCTCTGTCTCTCTCTATCTCTGCCTTTCAAAAAAACACATAAATAAATCGTAGAGAGGGAAGGGCCGGCGCCGCGGCCCGCTAGGCTAATCCTCTGCCTGCGGCACCGGCACCCCGGGTTCTAGTCCCGGTTGGGGCGCTGGTTCTGTCCCAGTTGCTCCTCTTCCAGTCCAGCTCTCTGCTGTGGCCCGGGAAGGCAGTAGAAGATGGCCCAAGTGTTTGGGCCCTGTACCCATGTGGGAGACCAGGAGGAAGCACCTGGCTCCTGGCTTCAGATCGGCGCAGCGCGCCAGCCGTAGTGGCCATTTGGGGGGTGAACCAACGGAAGGAAGACCTTTTTCTCTGTCTCTCTCTCTCACTGTCTAACTCTGCCTGTCAAAAAAAAAAAAGAAAGAGAGGAAAGAAAAAAAAATCTTTAAAAGAAAAAAAGAAATATCCATATTGTTTTTCACAATGGCTGCACTAATTTACATTACCACCCACAGTGTAAAAGAGTTATTACCCTATACAGAAATCACAATTTGGCAATTACAGTAACAAAATGATATTCCTTTTGGGGAAAATAAAGTAGCTGGATTAACAATTGACTAAACTTGACCAATTCTAGCTTCAACATAATTAGGCACATAACAACAACCCTAGGACACCAAGTTCTTGCTGTGATTCTAAATAAAATGCTTTCTAGCTGAAAAATCCTTGTCAAATCCTTCTACTTCATGTGACATGACAAAAAGGAGCATCTTCCACAGTCCTACTACCTGCCTCATTCTAATAAGGATCCTAAGGCTAGACCTAAATTTCCCCAACATCACTGACAATGGAAGAGATGGCTGGACCTCAGGGACCTGTCTACCTATTCCAAGCACATAGCTTTATTTGTAATGTGATCAATGGCATTTCTCTTCCCATAAAAAAGTTACTATTGGGGAAAAAAGATTTTGAAGGTTAAAAATAAAAGAACATTCTAATAACTGGATTCTGGAAGATAGATTATAGGGCTGGGGTTGTGATGCAGCAGGTTAAATCAACACTTGAGATCCCAATATCCCATATCGGAGCATGGCTTCTAGTCCCAGATGCTCCACTTCCGACCCAGCTCCCTGCTAATGTGCCCGGGAAAGCAGCAGAGGATGGCCCAAGTGCTTGGACTCCTGTTACTCATGTGGGAGACCTGGATGTGGCCATCTGGAGAGTGAACTAGCAGATAAATGATATATCGCTCTATCTATTAATCTATCTATCTCTCTCTCTCTCTGTCTTTCAAATAAATAGTTGTTTTTTTTTAAAGGAAGTGGATCATACAGCATCACAAGCAACCAAAGCCTGGAACAAAGGGGCAAACTACAAACAAAAGTTTATAAATCTTTCACACACAAGAGAATGCTTCATCACACTTCTTTTGAACTTAGAATATTGAGCAATCTCAAAAGCATTTCCAGCCCAACATCAAAGTCAACTGGTCCTGAAGGCATCCTGAGAGGAGCACTGCAATCTGTGGTGAAAGTTATTCAGAATATTCAGCAGCTAAAAAAATCAAAAGCATAAATCTTTGCCTCAAAATAAATCAATCAACCTAAGAGGTGTCATGCATCAGGACTTTTTATTCTGAAGGCTTTTCATGAGACTTCCATCAAAATTTCAAGGGAAGCCAAGAACACGGGTCATGAACGATTGTATGCACGACCGAAGGCATTAGGAAAGGGGAGACTCAGCCCTGGTTACTGAGGGAAAGAAGCATTCACTGCAGGAGGCCCAAGGTAAATCTGACCGTCAACGGGCCGAACGAGACGCCGTTCTGATTTCAGGTGCAGCAATCTTTCAGGCAATGGAAGTCCTGAGGACAAACGATCAACAAGCATTCCCTGAGCACACAACGTTCCTGGGGATGAAGGACCGGGGACAGGGAAGTCAGTGTCCATGCATCCGTGGCATCTGCGGTCTAACCAAAAACAGCTGTAGATCACGAGGCAGCAGAAGCAGAAGAGGCCCGGGAAGTCATCCCGACTGCGCCCGGCCGATCACGGACAACTGGACAGGACCGGCGGTCCGCTCCAGAACAGAGGGCTGGACAGGCCTCTTCCACTCTGGGCGTATGCGTACAAGTTCAAAGACGTGGGGAGGAGCCCCATCCTTTGAGAACTGGTAGGACCTGGACTGCAGGAGAGAAGGAAGACCCCAGGGAAGGAAGGAGCGCGAGGGTCAATGCGCAGGGGGATGTGACACCAGCTATGTAGGCACAGGCAGTCCAAAGCCGACGGGCGCCTCCCGCAGCTGCAGGGGTGGGGAGGACTTGCTAAGGAGTACAGAGTGCGTTCTCCAAGATGAAAAAACTCTGGAGACCACTACACAATAAGGTAAATGTACTGAACACCACTGAAACTAGAAGACAATGAGGATTCTGCACGAACTTCTCTGAAGCCCTTCCGTGTACTTAAATGGTTCAGGTTTTTCAACCACAATTTAGAAGCAAAGGGGAACGGGGAAAGAGTCACAGAAAGCGGTGCCCTAGTGCCCTAGCGGCTACACTGACTCCTAACCACCAATCCTGCTCCCCAAAATTCCTTTTCTACCAAAAAAAAAAAAAAAAGACAAATCTTGCTAGTAGGACACAGAGGGTCCTCCAACTACAACACAACACAGGGAGCACATTGAAGAAATAAGGGATTTCAGAAAACAACACGGATACTAAGCAATGGCAGAAACACAAAGCAAGCTATTCAAACACAATCTGATTGTTCATCCCTACACAAAATCCAACCCATGTCCCCACGTTAAAGCCCAGAGGCTTCTCCGATCTCAGGGGATACAGAAAAACTCTCCAATGTGCCTGCCTAGCCCTGCCCCGCACTGCAGCCGCCCACCTGATTCTCCCAGATGCTCCCACGCCTACGGAAGCCGCTGGTCCTCTCCCCAGACCCGGCTGCTTGCTCTGACGGGCCCCTTCCTTTCTCGTGCATCCAGTGTCACTCCTGCGGCTCCCTCACTAAACACTCACCAGGGCCGCAGCTTTACATGCGCGGGCGTTTACTGGAATGTCATCCGCTGAGCACAACCACCACGCCTTTCCTTACTCTGCCCCTCCAAAGCCAAGCACAGCGCCTAGGACCAGGCAAGCACTCAGTCAGCTGTGGAGTAAATGAACACACCAACACGGAACCTGCAAGAAAGCAACACAACTTAGGGTCCCCTAATGCCCAAAACAATTGAGTCTAAAATCCCTATCACACTAAGAAACAAAAGAGTCCATTCAGATGTGCATCCAAGTGGCCCGGCCCTCCTGTCTCCAGGCAAACGCTAAGCATCGCAGGCCGGTAGCCTTACCCACACACAGACACATCCCAAAGACAAAACAGGGCCCAGCTGCCGGCTACCAAAGAGCGGCATTTCCGAGACTCGTCAGCATGTACGAGACGGGAACTAATCTTACTTACACTGTACTTCATCCAGACATAAGAACAACTACAGAAGCAAAGAGAAGAATCGCCAAGTGGCAGAGTCCCCTGTGCGACCCTGGGTCTCACACCGGAAGAGTGCTGAAAGATCCGTACTGAGCGTTCGCAGGGCACAGAGCTGACACCACACAGCCTAAGAGCTTTCAAGGAGGACCCCAAGACGCCACGTGAAACTATTTCCCAAACCCTCGAGTCTAGATAAAAAGAAATAATGTGAGACGCAGTCTTCCCCACCACAAAGACAAACTTCGCCCATGGAGACAAATTCAGTCCCATTTAATCCACAACCAAATCCTGAAATCCTGACACAAGCCGCTCTGTCCGCCTGCTCTGACCCACTGTGGCACCCACCGTCTACACCGCGTACTCTGCATGGAACAAGCGCCCTGCTACTGCTTTCCTAACACTTGAACGGGGTGGGGGGGGGGGGGTTGCAGGCTCTTCCTTCTACCACGTCCCCCAACTGCACGTAACAGTCGGTGCTTAACAAACATTGACCTGAAATGGAATCACACGGCCCTGAATGATGGATGCGGGGTCTAATCTGCAATCTGTCCCTAAGTGCCACTCCGGAAGGTGTCCGCGTGCCTGCTTTAGCTCCATCATCCCGGGGTTAAGAATAACTTCGCTAGGCAACAACGCTCACATCAGGCTGACGGTGTCCTCGCTGGCTCCCGTACAAAGTCACTCAAGGAAGGGTCTCGGGGCCACGGGGTCTTTGCAAGCCCAAAGCGGGGACAAACACGTGCCCCCACGTCCTCCCAAGTCGCCGCTTTCCCTCGAGACCAGCCCCAGGGAGATGGCCTAGTGGAGAAAACGAGACGACACCGACTCTGGGACAGCGACCACACCCCGCTCTCAACTGGAGAGCCAGTTTCCCGGAGGAGGGTCGAAGTGCTCGGCTGCAGGGGCTCTCGAGTCAGGAAGGCGGATACAGGGAAGCGCGAGCAAGCGTCCGGGGCTGTCATCAGGCGGTACTGCCGGCCAGCCCGAACACCTCGCTCGGGACACGGCGTCCACAGGTGCCCCGAGCCTGGCCACAGGCTCTGCGTCGCGCACCCCACGGGCCACCCCGGGGAGGGGCGGAGGGCTGGCCGGGCCAGGACTGGGCCTGCTAAGACAGACCCGCCAGGCTCGGGGGGCGTGGGGTGGGCATGGCGACGTCGGGGCCGGGCAGCGACGCGGGAGGCGCAGGACGCCCGCCCCGGGCCGCCGCCGCAGGTGCCCAGCCCCGCGCCTCGGAGCCCCGGGGAGCCGGCCTCGAGCTGGGTCCCGAATACAGCAGGGGGAGGGGGCGGGGAGGGCCTCACCGTCGCTCCCGGGAGGCCGGCGCCGCCGCGGACCCGCAGTTGCTAAGGAGAATGCTCTTCCGGGTCAGGGGCGCGGCGTTCGCGAGCGCAACGGTGGCCGGGTGGGGCCAAAGCGCCTTGCGTGCGCGGCGGCGGGGCTGAGCGGCCGCAGCGGGCGGTGCCAGCCACCTGACCCTGGTGCCAGCCACCCTTCTCGCCCTGGCCTGTCCCGCAGACGCCTCCAGCCCTGAAGCTGCTCGGGGCCAGGAGCCCCTGGGTGTCGCCGCGCGGGCCCCTTTCCTGTTACAAGGTCGCTCGTTTTTCCACTGGACACGTGCTCAGAGCCAGATGCCCGCCGGCTGAGCGAATACAGAGGTGGGCCACCCAGGTGTGGTCCCTGACCCCGAAGGTGCGGGCTGGTGGCCGAGCAGGCAGAGAAAAGGTGATGTTGGAGGGTAGGAGTTGATGATTCAGGTCAGAGAGCTGGCGCAGTGGAGAACCCTACCAAAACCGCAGAGGGGCCTGTCCAGCCAAGTGTGTGCACAGAGAACGGCTGAGGGTGCAACCAAGGAAACCCCAATATGGGAGGTGTGTGCGGAGGTAAAGGAACCCTCCAGGAGCAGGCCGAATGTTCTAGAGAGCCGGAGAAGTAACCATTGTCACGTGCTCCATAGAGCAGGTGTCCAGCGGTGACCATAGGGAAGTCCCCAGCCGGGAGTACAGTGTCAGAGTCCACAGTGGCTTGAATCCGGAGCGGGGGGCACCACCGCGTGTTCCCTCAGGGCCAGGGTGGTGGGCAGTGCAGGGAAGCGGAGGGCAGACGGGTCTCATGTGGGCAGGAGCCCGAATTTCTGCTCCAGGTTCTGTCTCACACAGAGACAAGAATTCCAAGCTGAGACATGGGAAGGTGCCCAAGTAGGACAGGATTTATTGAAAATGAGAGAAAACGGGCCGGCGCCGCGGCTCACTGGGCTAATCCTCCGCCTAGCGGCGCCGGCACACCGGGTTCTAGTCCCGGTCGGGGCGCCGGATTCTGTCCCGGTTGCCCCTCTTCCAGGCCAGCCCTCTGCTGTGGCCAGGGAGTGCAGTGGAGGATGGCCCAGGTGCTTGGGCCCTGCACCCCATTGGGAGACCAGGAAAAGCACCTGGCTCCTGGCTCCTGCCATCGGATCAGCGCGGTGCGCCGGCCGCAGCGCGCCGGCCGCGGCGGCCATTGGAGGGTGAACCAACGGCAAAGGAAGACCTTTCTCTCTGTCTCTCTCTCTCACTGTCCACTCTGCCTGTCAAAAAATAAAAAATAAAAATAAAAAAAAAAAAAAGAAAATGAGAGAAAACGTACAATCATGTGTGCGAGTGGGCCGCCCCACGCGGAGAACTGCCCCTCACGCGTGGGCGGAGGAAGCCTGAACAGCGCCCCCAGCGGTAAAGAGCAGTGAAGTGGGCTGTCCCCCATTCTCAGCCTCTCTGAGGTGTGGGGGTGACTCTACATGCGTGGGAACTTCAGGATGCTTCCATCTTTCCACGTGGAGCTTTATTTTCATATTTTCATGGTGTCCAGGGGAAACAGGTGCATCCTGGGAAAGGGGGTGTTTCGGCTGACGGGTCCTTCCAGCTCAGTCAGTCCACACTCGCTGCCCAGGGACGCCCTGCGGGTCCAGCAGAGCCGCCTCCCCCTCACAGAGGGCGATCCGAGGCGTGTTCCCTGTGGCTCAGTCCCTTCTTCCTCAGGGTGACTGTTCCCATCCGCTTTGACAGGAACAGTGGCATGACAGCCAGAAGCTCGCTGTTGCAATGTGAACTACAACCCAAAAGTCACGCTGAGAACTGCAGTGTGTTCTCCATCAGGGGGGGTTTCTGTAGTCCAAGAGGTTTCTCCGGGTCGCTGATTTGTATTTCTGGGCAGAGCGAGGGAGGGATTTAGGAGACTCCGCCAGACACCTTTGGGCCTCCCTCCACGTGTTCCATGTTAAACAGGGAAGAGATACATTAAATTGTTCCTGAATTGCTTAGCGCTTTAAAAAACATCACCATAGTATTAAGCAAATTTCAGGATCCCCCTACCAATAACTAGGAGATCCCTGAAGGTGGACAGTGCTCACACTGTCATAGGCCACACACATAGGCCACACACATAGGCCTCGATCAAGTTTAAAGAAGAAACGGGGGTTGGCTCTGTGGCGTAGTGGGTTAAGCTGCCGCCTGCAGAGCCAGCATCCCAGTTGGGCGCCAGTTCAAGACTCGGCTGCTCCACTTCCAATCCAGCTCTCGGCTATGGCCTGGGAAAGCAGTGGAAGATGGCCCAGATGCTTGGGCCCCTGCACCCACGTGGGAGACCCAGAGAAAGCTCCTGGCTCCTGGTTTCAGATCAGCCCAGTTCTGGCTGTTGCAGCCAACTGGGGAGTGAACCAGCGGATGGAATACCTCTCTCTCTCTCTGTGTGTGTGTGTGTGTGTGTGTAACTCTTTCAAATAAATAAATAAATCCTTTAAAAAAAAGCATCAATGCACTCAGTGGACCTGCGGTTTTAGTGCTTGAACAGACCCTTCCGGAACTCGTCTGTTCGTCCTGGAGGACGGAGGAAGCCCAGCCGGAGGTGGAGGGGCCCAGCGATTCAGCGGGGAGGAAGGGACCACTGCGGGGGGGGGGGACCCAGAAGGAAAAGGACACAGAATTGAAAGAATACAATCTGGTTTTCCAGAACTGGAAATGGGGTCTGATCAGCTAGGGGCTGGAACAGGAGAGCAGGGGAAGGAGGGCTGAGACTTGTTCTCCAGGGCAACAGTGGCTCTCACTCTGAGTGGACGTCGGGCAGAGAGTGTGGCCTTGCTGGTGTGAAGGCTGCAGGTTTGGGGTGGACGTTTGCCCGTGCCCGCTCAGTGGCATGGACCCAAACTTCCTCATGTGGGCTGAAGGCAGACCACCACTCCCTCTGGAGTACATGGAGTAAGCGATTTGCACTGTCAGCACATCTCCAATCCACAACTTCAGTATATTCCCAGCATAGCAGGCATTATAATGTTCTTTTTATTGTTTTTTAAGACTATTTACTTGAGAGGTAGAGTTACAGAGAGAAGGGTCTTCCAACCACTGGGTCACTCCCCAAGTGGCTACAACGGCCAGAGCTGGGTCGATCAGGAGCCAGGAGATTGTTCTGGGTCTCCCACCACACAGGTGCAAGCCTCAAGCACTTGGGCCATCTTCCCCTGCTTTCCCAGGCCATCAGCAGAGAGCTAGAATGGAAGAGGAGCAGCCGGGATACAAACCAGTGCCCACAAGGGATGCCGGCTGCACATGTGGAGGCTTAGCCTACCATGCCACCACATTGGCCCCTATGATGTTCCTCTTTGTTGTTGTTGTTTAAGATTTATTTATTTATTTGAAAGTCAGAGTTATACAGAGAGAGAAGGAGAGGCAGAGAAAGAGAGAGAGAGAGAGTCTTCCATCCGATGGTTCACTCCCCAGTTGGCTGCAATGGCCAGAACTGGGCTGATCTGAAACCAGGGGCTTTCTCTGGGTCTCCCACATGGGTGCAGGGGCCCAAGTACTTGGGCCATCTTCTACTGCTTTCCCAGGCCATAGCAGAGAGCTAGATTGGAAGTGAAGCAGCCGGGTCTCGAACTGGCGCCCATATGGGATGCTGGCACTGCAGGTCAGGGCATTAACCCGCTGTAGCACAGCGCTGACCTCTATGATGTTCTTCTTTGAACATCTACCCACAGTATATGTGACCAGCTATCCATGGAAGTAAACCAAGAAATTTAAAAGGTGTGGCAAATGCATTTAGAAACATCCAAAATATCAAAGAGGCTGCCTCTGTCTGAGCTGATGTAACAGAGTACCGTAGACCATGTGGCTTCTGAGGACAGAAGTTGGCCTCCCAGTTCTGAAGGTGGGGTGGACCAAGCTCAAGGCGCCAGCATATTTGCTGTCTGGTGAGGGCCTGCTTCCTTGTTCATAGCCACCTTCTCACTGTAACCTCACACGGCAGGAAGGGCAGGGAGCTCTCTGGAGCCCCCAGGAGGGGACTAATGGCATCTGAGGATTCTGCTCTCGTGAGTTGATCGCCTCCCAACACCATCACATTGGAGGTTAGAATTTAGAATTTCTTTCTTTTTTTAAAGATTTACTTATTTATTTATTTATTTGAAAGAGTTATGTAGAGAGAAGAGGCAGAGAGAGAGAGAGAGGTCTTCCATCTGATGGTTCACTCCCCAATTGGCTGCAACGGCCAGAGCTGCGCCTATCCGGAGCCAGGAGCCAGGAGCTTCTTCCGGGTCTCCCACATGGGTGCAGGGGCCCAAGGACTTGGGTCATCTTCTACTGCTCTCCCAGGCCATAGCAGAGAGCTGGATTGGAAGAGGAGCAGCTGGGACTGGAAGCGGCGTCCATACAGGATGCTGACACTTCAGGCCAGGGCGTTGACCCGCTGCTCCACAGCGCCAGCCCCGGCATATCTTTAGAGAACTGTGTGGTGTTGTGGGTGGACTCTGCTTCCAGAGCAGCCCAGCCACAGAAGGTTCCAGCTCACGTGCTCTGTCTGATGGTCTCTGGATGACAGATGGCCAGTTAATGATGCAAAGTCTCTTGAGAGATGCCCCCCAAGACCCCGAATCTGAGGACCAGCTCAGAATCACTGTGCCCTGCTGGTGGAATTAGCGTATGAAACAAGCCACATGCCTCCTCCAGTAGAGGGACTCCAGGCAGAGCTGCCCACGTCTGCCCTAACAAAGGACCGCAGACTGAGTGAGAGTTTATTCCTCGCGGTTCTGGAGGCTGGAGTCCAAGGTCAGGGCAAGGTGAGCACCCGCCTGCTGGTTCTTGTCTTGTCCCAGTGAGGAAGAGGCCAACGAGGTCTCAGGAAAGTGCTAATTCCATCCTGAGGGCCCCTCCCTGGGAGCCACTTGCTTTTCACAGGTTCCACCTTCCACGGGTTCAACATGGGAATCTGCGAGAGACACAGCTTCTCAGTCCCCGTCAGTCTTTGTGAAGTCCAAGCTTTCTGGGCTTAGGGGCCACAGAGGGCGAGAGCTGTCCCAGGCCTTTCCAGTGCCGGGCTGACCCTGACTCTCAACCACTTTCACCCTAACCTGGTCCTCCCCAGGGAAGCCCGGGGGGAGCCACTCCTGAGCACACTGTCCCTCATCACCACACCCTCACCCTAGGGAGCAAGACCTGTG